ATGAATAGGTTGCGGGACGACGTGCTCCATCGTAGATCGCACCATCATTTACCACCAGGTGAGATAGAGGTCTAACATTGGCCTATCAAACATAGATGTATATAAAAACAACCCCTTACTAAAACTTGTACTGTTAGGTGATACTTTACATGTATAAAGGTTATTCAAAGATAAAATTAAAACAGCAGTAGATTCTTCTTATGAGAATAGACTCTTCTTACATTTGTACATCATAACGATTAATATCGATTAATAAACAACATTTCCTACAACACTACGCCATGCTGTTAAATGTACTACAAACTAACCAACAAGTACCCATACGCCTTATAGGTCGGTGACTTAAACCCACCCACTGCGTTGATGCGATTCTAATGATAATGTTATAAACGATAACTATGTTATAAATGCTTTACAAATTGTTCTTTTACTTAATTACAGCGTGGGATTAAAGTAATAGTAGAATTAAATATATTACATGAAAGTAAGAAGAGAAATTGGATAAGAATCTATGACAATTTGGAGATTCCATCGCTGTAGGCTAGTTTTTTTATGACTAGTTCAATTTGTCAGGGAGGGACAATGCCTTGTCCATTTTTATCGATCTATGATAAGATTGTTGTATTAATAAATTGGGTTTATTTTTGTTTACTCGTTACTTATTGTAGCAATAAACAGCGTATAGAAATGAAGGTCTGTAGTCGTCTATCGGTTCATGAAGTGAATTTTTATATTATTTGCTTATGAACATAATTATAAAGTTTTAATATGGTTGACTGTCACGCAACGTGTGCCTGGTTCGATTCCCGTACGGAACAACTACATATTTGTAAAAAAAACAAAGATACACTAATAGTCTAACAATCACGCGAGAGTTAAAACGTCACTTTCATTTTCTTAAAGAGCATTTAACCATCAATCTAAATGGAACTTTAAACTATAACAGACAGGCAATCTGTTGGGATAGCCCTCGTATTAGTAAAGTACCAACTGACTAATTATATCAATGTCAACAAAGACCCTTTGTTGCTCAGCAGGACGTCTTACATTAGAGTCCTTTTTCATTAGAATACTATAGTCGCACGACCACGTCGCGTGCACGCAACCAGTAATTTGTATCAAATGGTATGCTAGCCCTATCTATATCCCTATCCTATAGATCTAAGAAAAGAATATATCTGGTCTAGGTATAGACCTAGATATATTATTTTCTTAGATCTTTTACTTCTTATATAAGTTGCTAGCTACTTCCAAGCGGTTATACCCACTCTGCTTGGCGCCTATTAATCGTAGCGTGATGTTTGTACCCTATAACCTTCCTCGATAAATGGACTATCCAACACAAAAAGAATTATTGAAATCGGACTGGTAGTTCTGATGATTAGTGCGTTCAAACAAACAAACAGACAAAGAAACAATCAATCAATCAAACAAACAAACTCATAGCTAGCTTCATAGAGTAAGTATAAGAGTATATAAGATTAATAATCTAGGGAACCACTGGATCGATTTGAAAAAATGTTTTCATGATGGTTATAGTCTATTTAATTTTAACGACGAAGGCTTTAGGCTATAAAATCCATCAGACCACCACGGATGGGGCCCAATAAGACTGATGCCGATTCGGAGTCGCGGAGAACCTAACGGGTTACCGGGGCGCCGGCTCGACGTGCACGAGAAGGAACGGGGTGGTTTTTAGTTAGTAAGAGTTTGACACTCCCTCCCGCCTCACCCAGGCGGGAGCAGTCATTCGATGATTTTCCCTCCTTAAAAAAAATAGGCTATAAATTATCACGCTACGATCAACAGGCGCAGAGCAGTGCGAAGTTTGATCAAAATAGGCATTTGTTCGTTTCTACGCATTCTTTAATTTGTAGATCTGTTAAATTATTATCTAGTTTTATATTTATTGTATACTTTACTAAAATTCGATAGCACGGTTGATGCGGTGGCTGGGCAACCGGCTGCCGCGCAACGCGTCGCGGGTTCGATTCCCGCACGGAACAACTCTTTGTCTGATCCACAATTGTTGTTCCGGGTCTGGGTGTCATGTGTATGTGAACTTGTATGTTTGTAAACACATCCACGACATAGAAGAAAATCCTAGTCTTTATAAACTTGTTATGGATAATAATGAGTCCAAGGAGTCTATAAAGGACCTTAAGAAGGAGAACTCCCTCTTGAAAACCTGTCTCGAGGATGTCAAGCTGTGCATGAATCAAATGCAGCAGCAAGCTCGATGCAGCAACGTGGAACTGCAATGTGTGCCAGAGAGGAAGAATGAAAATTTGTATGATATTGTTAACAAGCTTAGCAGTGTGGTGAGTTGTAACATCCAGGAAGATGACATTGTGCATTGTACTCGCACAGCCAAACAGGATGGCTCCAGTGCACGACCACGTTCCATAGTTGTACAGTTAGTTTCAACGAGAGTTCGAGATAGGTTGCTTGCGTCAACAATAAAATATAATAAAAACAATCCTGAAAATAAATTAAACAGCTCAATTCTTGGTTTTTCTGGTGATAAAACCCCGATTTTTGTAACCGAGCACTTGTCTCCGAGCAACAAGGCTCTTCATGCGGCAGCCAGGTTGAAAGCTAAAGAAAAACAATATAGGTATGTTTGGGTGAGGAACGGAAAGATTTTTATGAGAAGGCAGGACGGGGCGCAATATATTATTGTGAAAAATATTGCAGCTCTAGATAAGATAGTTTAATACCCGCCGCACAGCAATTGTATTGGTTATTTGAAATTATAATTAAAATTCTCTCATTTAAGTTTATATTAACAAAACACACGCGGATTACGAACAAAAACCCACGAGTTCTATCGTAACTTATGTTGTGTGGGTTATGATATTGTTATTCTTACGGAGACGTGGCTTAATGATAAGGTACTGAGTGGTGAGCTTTTCGATGACAGGTACAATGTATATAGAAGGGATAGGGAGAAATGTGACTTTAATAATACAAAGGATGGGGGTGGCGTACTGATAGCAGTGTCTAAAAAAATAAAATGTGAACGTATGTATAAATGGGATAGTAATTGTGAGGATTTATGGATAACTATAGATATTATTAAGGGGGGTGCCTGGCGTCGAATGGCTCTCTGCGCTGTTTATTTGCCACCTCCAGTGCAACGATCTGTATTGGAACATTTTGTCGATCAATGTAATAAAATCTTTGATAAAATAGATGATATGTGTACCGTTATTGTGGGTGATTTTAATCAAGGGCTTGTGGACTGGGACCGACTACGTGATTCTTCTAGTGTTTACATCGTTCCTACCGTTAGTCGAACTTTAATTGATTTTATGAATTTGAATGAGCTGACTCAGCATAATAGCATCTGTAACAAGTCCGGGCGAATACTTGACTTGGTGATTAGTGATTTGCCTTCTTGTTGTGTGACGGAATGTTCAAATGGTTTGAGTACAATCGATAAATTGCATCCACCTCTGGAAATAGACATTCCTGTTGAATTTGAGGAGGGTCTCTCTTTTAGCACTGGTAACACAAAATATAACTACTATAAAGCAGATTATGTTCGGATTCACAGGTTTTTGGCTGAACTGAATTGGAGTGAAATATTCAAGGGTTTGAATAGTGTCGATGTGTTGCTTGAT